GGGGGGGGGGGAATGAAAAGCGGTAGTGGGCGTGGGTGAATGTTGTCCTAGTTGCCCGTGGACACCTCGTTACGCAGGTACACAGAGAAAGAGGCTCGTTTGGTAAGAAAGGGGGCAGGAAAGGTAGCGAGTTTCTCTCAGGGGATGAGTTCCTGGTAACCTGTTTGGGTGGAGCCACAGAAAGCAGAGCTGGGAGCGGCCGGACCGGCAGCGCAGTGTGCGTGTGTGTGTTTGTATGTGAGGTTTGAATGGTCTGTGTGTGCACTAGCCGGGACGCATAGGTGTGCGTTTAATTTTTTTTTTAATCTGCTATGAGAGCTCACACCGAGGCTGACAGTGGAGCCGAGCATAGCCTGTGCCGAGAAGGACATGAGGTCCGAGAAAGAGGAGGGGAAGGCCGGTGAGTGATCAATAGAAAATAGACGGTGAAAAAAGACTGTGTGTGTGTGAGTGTGTGTGTGTGTGTGTGTGTGTGAGAGAGAGAGAGAGAGAGAGGGAGAGAGAGGGTGAGTGAGTGGACTGATTACATAATAGGAATATAAAAGTTACAACAAAGCTGATTAATTTCTGAAATTTCACGTTTGAGACTGAAATGATTTGTGATGCAGTGTAACAAGCGCTGCTGTAGGATACGCTACATTTGACTTAGGCGTTTTTATTTGGTACATGCCTGATTTAACTTAGGCGCCTACTTATTGTCCCGATGTAAAGCGTGGACTTTGTACATTTATTTGACAGGTAGACTATAGATTTATTCAAAACAATATCATTGGTTTATAAAGAAGACATCTCCACTGCGCCTCGGAATGCTTTAATGCTCGATTAATCGGCGCTTTTATTCATGATCATCATTATAATATTTGCTAGGTTAATCCTAATTGTTTTCTAGAACAAACAGAAAGCTAGTGAATTCACTGTAGCAGAATACACATTTGAATGGCAGACACAATATGTTTTTTTTAAGTAGTTAAAATTAAAAGTTAGAGAAAACAGTTAAACAGCTTAGTTAGGTTTTGACAATCAGATCATAAATCAATTGACTGCTTTCACCTGCTCTAATATTAAGTAATCAACCAAGCTTCTTTTCTTGCCAGCTGTGATATTGAAGTGGTTCTCATGGCAAAATATTACATATATTTTTGATATATTAATTATATGCCATGAAATGCTGTTAGAATTACTGAAGTCACATTGTTATAAAACTGATGTTTTCCCCAATACGGTGTTATTATAAGTCTTACTTTTTGATCTGACTGTGGTTCATTTTTTTAATACTCACAATCACATGCCTTTTCCCTCCACTATAAAAGCTGATTAATTTAAATCTATTCCATATCCCAGGATTATTTATTTTACTTAAGTAAAAGTGACCTACATACTGTATGACACGTTTATATGGATGATCTTTTAATCTTTTACATTGTGCATAAACTGTGATGTTTTATCAAATTCATGTTCGGTATAAAGGAGTTTAGTAGCTCAGCAGACATAATGAAGCTGGCCTATAATCTAAGAGCTACGTTGGCCGTTGTGTTTGGATTCATTTAGGAAGCAGACGCACTGTATTATCCAGAAAACCGACAAATTAAGATGCATTATGTTTGATGGAAAATGAGAAGATCTTCTGCTATGGAGAATCTTTTCCTAGATGCCATGAAAAGGTTTCTTTGATGCTGCTGTGGGTGTGTGTCTGTCTACACATTCAGATGGACTTGTTGTGGTTGTTTATGAATCAATAGAGATGAGTTTCATCCCACAGTGTGTTGCATGACTCGTACAGGAGCTCATGTTTGCTGAAGCCTGAGGTCACCGCTCAGAAATTTGGAAGACAATGAGTTTGACCGACTGCAGTGCAACGCACAGATTGTTCTTTTGCTGTTGCCGTCCCACTCACTGCGCTGTTGTGAAGTTATTCACCGGGGCCGTTACACACAGCGTGTGGCACATCTTTACATATAAAGTCAAGTTTGTTTGTTTTGTTTCCTGATTTCTTCGATCCTGTTTCTGTTTGATCTCCCTGTGAGCTGTAACTACCCTGAGCTAATCACAGGCCGTTATTGCTTTCAGCATCTCAACAAGTGCAACGGTTAATGAGTACTGAACGGGTAGTTATTGCAGTGTTTTACAAACTAAACTTGAGTAAGGCTTTTAACGTTACACACATAAGCTGCAGCCCAGCAGGCGCCACCTGCAGTTTGTGAGATTATTCAGGCATGCTCCAGGACATGAGGGACACTGTGTATCAAAACACGTGGATTTCCAGTTCTGCACAGACTAGATCCTGTTGTTCCTAGCAGATGTTAAGGCTTGTCTGCAGATTCAAATTGAGGGTTGTTCGCCATTTTCTTCTTCAGCGATTGACATCATGAACCCAACCTCATACTCATTTTCAGTATTTTCTTTTCTTCTTCAGGATTCATAGTTTGTTGATAAGCACAAGTCCATTTATGTTTGGGGCTTAAGTGAGTTGACAAAGTATTTGATGGCTTCTGGTTGCTTTGTTTCAGATACTAACATGGTGGCA